TGCTCTTTTGGGGTTTGGCAGAACCTTGTAACTTGTCTTTCCCTGACCTTGGCTGCAGACAGAGCAAGGGTGGAAATTACTAGGGGCATTCCAACAGACACATCTGATGGACTTCAAGAAACATCTTGACCCCAATTAGTAAAGTCCAATCCCTGCTCTGCATCTGAAAGGTTCTTTAGCCTTCTGGGTGTGGTGGTGCACTCCTTATGGAGAAGTTCTTTAGCACCTTCCCCACACCTAACAGCTAGTTCTCTGCATTAGAAAAGAAGATGAGATTTACTCTAGATGGGATGACCACCAAGGGATACACCTTGCCCCGGGTGTGACTAATCCCTTATAGATTTGTTAACTGCTTCTCATTGTCTGTAACCTGGCAACTAATCCATACAGTGTCACGAAACATACATGTGTAATGTCTCCTTGTACTATAAATAAAGACGTCCAGTTCATCTGGGCGGCACAAGTTGCTTGGGCTACCTAGGCTCAGGCTGCCTGTGTCCATTTCTATCTTTTTGTCTCATTTTTTCTGCTTCTTCCATAATAGCGCTAAGCCTGGGGGCGGACGCCGACAACCCGTTAGCAAGAAATCTCTCTAAAAGAAAAAAGTTCTGGAATGGGTGGTGGCAATGTTAGCCCAGTGGTAGGAATATACTTAATGTCTCTGAACTGAACACTTAAAAAATGTTTAAAAGGTCAGATGTCATGTTATATCTATTTTATCCCAATTAAAAAAAAAATAAAAAAAACTCAAGAGGGTTTTAAAGCCCGAATCTCTGGATTTGAGCCCTGGATCTCCCATGTAAAAGCTATGTGGTCTTAGTAACTTACTTAAATCTGTGCCTCAGTTTCCTCCTCTAAAATGAAGAAAGGAATTGTATCTGAGTCATGCATACCATGCAGATGAAACGAATCACACGTGTAGCTCTCAGAACATGCCAGAAGATAGCACGTGCCCAGTAAACATTAGCTAGTGCTGACTGGTGAGTCCGCCTTCCCGTGTCTATACCTATAAACTTCTAACTCGCCTCTCCCCAGCACTCACCCCCAGCACCTTCCCAACCATCCTCAATCAGCTTAGATGTCCCTTCCTCCAGGAAGCTCTCCTGATGGCCCACCACTCCCTCAGGTCTCCTGGACTGCCCCTATCATAGCACGAGTCACTCTATGACACCCGCATATTATTACTGGGATGTCTCTGTCTCCCCTGCCTTACCGAGAATGCCCCAAAGGCAGAGTGGAGTCAGGTTCATCACCGTATCTGCTGCTTGGCACACAGAAGTGCCTGGGGCCATCGGGGAGTCTGGGAAAAGTGAACTGGGCCAGAGAAGCAGAGACAGGAGGAGAGACAGGAGGGAGACCTCCGAGGTCTGTATTCAGGTGAGACCGTGTTCACGCAAGGCCTTGTAAATGGCACGGGAGAAATGACCAAAGATACGAACCGAGGCCCACAAGGAGGCCCTGCCCTGTGCCCGGTGCCCAGTGCCCGGTGCCTGGTTGGTACCTCCACGAAGAAAGCAGTGGCTGTGATCTTGTGCTTCTCGTCGCCTCGCTCCAGGAGCGGGATGAGCAGGTAGAGAATACGGCACAGCTCCTGGCAGGAATACTGCACCATGGCCCTGGGCGAGGAAGGGGGCAGTCCCCTCAGGCTCTCCACCCCCAAGGGGACCTGCTGCTGAGGAGCTGCATTCCCAGGACTTCCCACCTGGGTGAGATCTCAGGGACCATCTGATTTAACTGCTTCAGTTAAACGAGGCCCAGAGTAGGAAAGCAGCTTGCCCGAAGGCACAGCAAATTGGGAAGAGAGACAAGCAGAAGCCTCCTGGCATGAGCTGAGTGCCTTAGGGCAAGCCGCTGAGCTGCCTGGGCCACAGGACCGCTT